ACTTCCTCCAAATTTTGATGTCCTTTTTCTTACTCCTGCTTTGTCTTAAAGTTCTCAGCTAAGTCTCCTCACAAAATTTGAAACTTTCTAAACCGAATTTTGAATCTTTGAGTGTTTTGTTGGTTTAGTAAAGAAACTCGACACTAAAGATGGAAATTGTATTTCTCTAATTAGATTATCTTCTATGTGTCTTTCCTTTGAATACTAGTGCTGTTTGCCTTCTTTTGACCAAGGTTCAAGAAAAACCGATACTTTTTTTTTTACTATGCGTTAAGAGTGTTTGTTGCGTGCATCATATAGGCTTCACTGCTGAAATTTTAACTCTCTTGAAGTCAACACGGTTAGTGTTTGTTTGGTATAGTTAACAGTTGAGGAGAGGAAGTCTTTCTTGATATTCGTTTTACTGTATTATCTGTGAAGTTGTTTCTTTTATATGTTTTCTGATTGAAAGAAGCAGATCTCATTGGTTTTTACTTATCAGACGGATCCTACATGATGTCTGAAACTTGTTGCTACTGTTTTGCAGGCAGGTCAAAGATGTTGTGAAGGGCGTTAGGAAACGGATTGGTAGCAGGAATCCTAAAACTCAACTTCTTGCCTTAACAGTGAGCTTCCAAGATACTTGTCTTCTTCTTTTTTTTTTCCTTTATGATTACTTCATTAGAAATAGCCATTTTTGCTAGCGTAACTCTGCATGTAAATGACTTGTTTGTTTTAGTTACACATATAGCCTCACTCCAAAGGTCAATATAATCTATGATTAGTCGTCTCTTAATCAATGCGAGTTGACATGAGTCGAGATTACTTGTTCATGATAAATGTCCTTTAGAAAGCATATCAAACCTCACAAGGATTAATTTTGCTCCTTTTTGTTCTAGTGTTAATGAAGTTTTTGCGACTTACAAGTTGCCTAACATGAATATTATGCTGGATATTACGTGGGAAATTTTTTCTCTAGTTTGTTTTGAAATGATAGTTTATATTCACCCATAAGGCATATGTTATGTATTAGCTGCTTGAGACGATAGTGAAGAACTGTGGTGACATGGTTCATATGCATGTGGCTGAGAAGGGTGTTATTCATGATATGGTTCGGATAGCTAAGAAAAAGGTAAACGTTCTTCTAAATTGGTCTTCTTGGGAAACTTTAACTCTGTATATCTCTCTAATTCAAGGTATGTATCTAATGATGCATATAGCCGGACTTCCATGTCAAAGAGAAAATCCTGGTCCTTATTGATACATGGCAAGAGGCCTTTGGTGGCCCTAGGGCAAGATATCCACAATACTATGCAGGATACCAGGAATTGTTGGTAGGTCGTCTAAATATATTTTGCTTCTGATTCTGGATGTCCCGTATGTCTAATACTGGAGTTTCAGTATGTCTCATACTTAGTTCCTTTAGATCCTTTGTGAATTCTAATACAGTTTCGTCCATTATTCTTATCTCATCGCCATTTCTGACTTCTATCTCTTTCAGCGTGCTGGGGCTGTTTTCCCGCCGAGATCAGAGAGATCAGCACCTGTTCTTACACCTCCACAAACACAGCCTTTAACGTCTTACCCTCCAAATCTTCGTAATACTGGACCTGGTAATGATATGCCTGAACCTTCGGCAGAGCCAGATTTTCCAACACTAAGGTAAATATCTTCTGCTGCAACGCTACTGTATTAAGATGATGACTTTTAACAAAAGCATAGAAGACTTTGTTGTGTCAATTTCGAGTTACTTGATATATTTTGTTAATATATGTTTTGATACTAATGTATTAGCAGAAAACAACCGTAGTTGTAGGCCTAGATATAGGGTAAGCCGAAGTTGAGACTGAATCGAATAAAGAAAATAACTACAGTTATGTAACTTCTTTCTAGTTTTACAAAACACCTGTAGTAATGGAATTTAATTTGTTTTCCTTTAGAACTTATTAGGAATGTATGTTAGGGTCCGCAAGTGTTAATTTTGCGTCTGTTTGCTTCTTTATTCAGGATGAAATGGCATGCTTTTGTTGCTCAGAATCTATTGCTTCTCAATGTTTATTGTGTTGTATGTCAAAATTCTTTCAGTTTGTCAGAGATCCAAAATGCAAAAGGTATCATGGATGTGCTTGCGGAAATGCTGAGTGCATTAGAGCCGGGAAACAAGGAGGTAACATGATGTAGCTGCAGAGAAATATAAATCCATGTTTGCAAGTGTTGGTTATAGTGCAAAATATATTAGAATAAGAGTAACAATTTAGGGTTTTTTCTTGGACATTGCCATTGTGAAATTTAATTATCGTTTTTGCTTTATACGTATCTCAGGATGATCATCCTTCTTTTTTGGATTTCTCTAGGACCTTAAACAAGAGGTGATGGTCGATCTGGTGGAGCAGTGTCGTACATACAAACAAAGAGTTGTGCATCTAATCAACTCAACTTCGTAAGAGCTCTTGCTTCTTCTCTCTAGTTACATATACTTTTCTTTGTAATCTTCTTTACCTCACCCATTCTTTTATCCAGGGACGAGTCTCTGTTATGTCAAGGTCTGGCGTTGAATGATGAGTTGCAGCGAGTCTTAACCAGTTATGAAGCAATGGCTTCTGGAAAACCTGGAACTTCTGTTCAAATTGATAAGCCAAAGCCTAAGACAGGAGAATCCCTTGTAGATGTTGATGGTCCTCTTATTGATACTGGGGACAGCAGTAATCACGCAAACGGGTACGTATGACCAAGTGACCTTGGTAAAAAAAGTTTTTTTTGTCTTATTAAATAGCTTCTGATTTTAGTTATCCAACATTTTTGCAGAGCTACATCAAGCTCTGGTAACGGGGTTCTAAATCAGTTGGCCCTCCCAGCACCACCTGTAGCTAATGGTTCAGCCAATTCCAAGATAGATCTCCTCAGTGGGGATGATCTTGCCCTTGTTCCTGTTGGCCCTCCTCAACCAGCAAGTCCAGTCGCATCAGATCAAAATGCACTTGCCCTTATCGATATGTTCTCAGATAATACTAGTAGTCCAAATATTGCAACTGCACCAACTGGCAATTCAGCTCCCCAGAATACTCAATTGCACCAGCAACCAACTAGTCAAGCTGGAGTACAGCAATCCAATGGATTTTCTACTCAAGCGGGTTATTCACAGTTTGAGCAACCATCATACGGGCAAGGGGCCTCTTCTCCCTGGAATAATCAGCCTACACAGCAGATGCAACCACCACATCAGACGTCTTACGGTAATAGATATAAGTTGAAGTTACAAAACCTTACTTAAGCACATCAGTCTCTTAGCTCTAGGAGAGTCTCATATATAATTCTTATTTGTTTTATTTGTGGTAATTTTGTAATGCGAAGGTGCTCTAGACAGTATGGCATTTCCACCTCCACCATGGGAAGCTCAGCACCAAGACTACAGTCCCACTGCAGACTCAGGAAGTCCGTTTTCTCCTCAGACACAAGTTGCGTTCACACATGCTCAACAATATCCTCAAATGCCCCAAACCAGCCTACCAGTTAACAACGGTCCATATCCTCAAATGCCCCAAGCAGGCCAACTGGTAAACAACAGTAATCCATATCCTCAAATGCCGCAAACCGGTATGTACATACAACAACCAATGCCAAACCAAGCACATCAGGCTCTAGGGCAAGGCTATCCATCCCAACAGCAACAGCAACAGATGATGATGGCTCAGTATTACGCCCAACAGCAACAACAACAGGCATATGGAAACCAGATGGGAGGATATGGCTATAATCAACAGCAGCAACAAGGGAGCAGCCCGTATCTAAACCAGCAGATGTATGGTTTATCCATGAGAGACCAGACTTCACATCAGTTTCCATCATCATCATCAACTACAACGTCTTATCTTCCTCCTATGAAACCTAAGAACAAACCAGAGGATAAACTATTTGGGGATCTCGTTGACATCTCCAAATTCAAGCCTACTACAAAACCGACTTCCGGAAGAGCTGGTACCATGTGAAATTCATGATTTCTGAGTAGCTAACTCTCTTCTCTCTTTGATCATTTGATTTTTACCCTTTTGGGAGATACATACATATGTATATATCAATATGTTATCTTCTTCCTTGCTTACAGTTTGCCGTTGATTATGACTGTCAATGGATTTGTATATTTATTGTGAAGAAAGAAATCTTTTGTTGAGAATTCAGTGATATTGTTTGGAGTTCTATTTTAGGCATTTTAATACAATTGTTTTTTTTTTCAAACATTTTATTTTGTTTCAGTTGACACTAAATTTCTGTATTAGTTAGACTTTTATGTACTTTTCCGATTTAAATATAGTTTCTCTATAGACATTCAAATGGCATCAAACGCTTCCACTGAATTAATCTTCGCTTGAACCTCGTATCATTTCAAAGTTAATGATGTCAATCACATAGAACGTAACGAGGAACGTTTGGAATAACTCGTTAATGATGAAAGCACGTCGCTCATGCTTTTTTGATCAAATAAATTTAGTTAAACGGAAACAAACAGACTCACAATCTGTTTTGGCTTTGCCTGCGCAGGGTTCAATTCCTGCTGATGATTTTTTACTGTTGAAGAACTCAAGAAAGCCTTGTCTCCTTTTCCTTGGTAACAAGACTTGCAACACAATATCATACTTATTAGTCATCAAGAAGGTGGGACGGGTGATAGATAGATGAAAGCATAACACAAAAGTGTTCAGAAAAAAAAATATTTGACCTTGAGAATAAAGACTACGATATGACATGATAAAAAAAAAAAAAAAAAACTAATTTGCTAACCAATATATGAAAATAGTACATTAAATTTTTCTAATTTTCATAGATTCTTTTGGATCTTCTTGCTTAAACTAATCTACAAAAATTGATAGCAATGGGATTTATTAGCTTCTTTGGCGTTTGCCTGCCACATAAGCAATTAATAATCTTCCTCTCTGCATGTTCATTATATTTTGTAACCAAACCAAAAGTATTAATTTACGTTTCTTTGCATTTCTTCTTCCTAGTACTGAATCTGATCGTCAACTATGGATATTCGAAGCTTGACTTTGTCAACGAACACTACTTTCTCTCCCTTTGAGCACTCTCGGTCTTTATCTCCTCTCACTCGCTTACTCGTTTCGTCTCGGTCGGCTAAACTAGGTCCCAAGGTCTCAGCGTCCATCTCCACACCGAACAGTGAAACTTCTTCCTCAGAAAAGGATCCCATCATCTCTGTGAAACCTGTTTACGTCCCGACACCACCCAATCGCGAGCTCCGGACTCCTCACAGTGGGTAAGTTGGTCCCATTCTTCTCTTTCTCCTAGTTTGTTAGTTTTATGTTTTGTTTTGTTTTGTTTTGCATGTTTTGTAATATACAAACACACAGATACCACTTTGATGGAACATCACGGAAGTTCTTTGAGGGATGGTACTTTAGGGTTTCGATCCCAGAGAAGAAGGAGAGTTTTTGCTTTATGTATACTGTGGAGAATCCGTCATTTAGGAAGCCATTGTCACCGTTGGATGTTGGTCTGTATGGACCAAGGTTCACTGGTGTTGGAGCTCAGATTCTCGGAGCTAATGATAAGTATATATGCCAATACTCACAAGAGTCTCACAACTTCTGGGGAGGTAGTTAAACCCTTGACTGCTGTCTCATGACAATAATTAACAAGTCAAAATCTGAGTCTTTGTCTTTTTTCACTTGTACTTCTTATGTTTCATTATTGATGTGAAAGACTCTCAAGTCTTGTCTGACTTTTCTTTGACATAAACTATTTTCAGTTGAAAATTCGCCAACCTTTACATTTTACTCATGTGTAGATAGACATGAGCTAGTTTTGGGAAATACTTTCAGTGCTGTGGCAGGAGAAAGGTCTCCGAACAAGGAGGTTCCCCCAGAGGTTAAAATCCCTCCTCTGGTTAATTCATGAATAGACATTAGCATGATAATGTAATTAATCTGTGAAACATGGTGTGTTCGACTGTAGGAATTTAACAGAAGAGTATCAGAAGGGTTCCAAGTTACCCCACTTTGGCATCAAGGTCACATTTGCGATGATGACAGGTAATTATTTAGTTATGTGCACAACTAGAACACAGTACATCATCCAGGGTCGGTTTTGGGCAAAGTCGAATGAAAAATTGTCTAGACTTCCGCTTTTAGAGAATTATATTAATATATGCAGGTCGTATGTATCCAAATTGTAAATAAAATTCTTTTTTTTTAAGGATTTAAAATGTGTACTCTTAAATCTCAGAGCCATCTAGCAATGATAGTTGAAGCATAACCCCAAGTGTTGAATTTCTGTTAGCATTCTCAGATGTTGGTTGGTACTAGTTTGGCATTATACAAGTAGTATAACTCTATGATTTATGAGAAATTTTCTATGTGTTAATTGCTTTATTTGAACTGACTTGTTTTGGCAGTACTGATTTCGCGGAAACTGTGAGATATGCTCGGTGGGAGTACAGTACACGCCCTGTTTATGGTTGGGGTGATGTTGGGGCCAAACAGAAGTCTACTGCAGGATGGCCTGCAGCTTTTCCTGTATTTGAGCCTCATTGGCAGATATGCATGGCAGGAGGTCTTTCAACAGGTCTGACCTTTGCTTAATTGTCTATATAGTAAAATATTACAGTTAAGTTTACTTGCATTCCACGAAAAGTATTAAGAAAGAAATCACCAACTGCATGCAATAGGATCTTTAAGTTTTATCTCTTGAATTTACAGGGTGGATTGAATGGGGTGGTGAAAGGCTTGAGTTTCAGGATGCACCTTCTTATTCAGAAAAGAATTGGGGTGGAGGCTTCCCTAGAAAATGGTTTTGGGTAAATAGTTTCATCCATGTGTTACTATACATTTCATTGTTTTGTTGCAAAGATTAGGCATACATACCTCATGGACATGGCTGGATATGAGATTTAGGGGACCATATATATTTTCAGATTAAATTTAATTACATTTTTTTTTTACATTTGGGTAAACATATGTGTAATAGCTCCAAGTGGAATGTTTCATCCAGCTGTGTCTGGAACCAATCATGATCGTGTATTACACTTTGAGCTCCTTCCTGTTCGATGTGTCTCTTTACAGGTCCAGTGTAACGTCTTTGAAGGGGAAAAAGGAGACATTACTTTGACTGCAGGTGGAGGGTTGAGGCAGTTGCCAGGATTGACTGAGACCTTTGAAAATGCTGCACTGGTATGCACTTACTAAGATAACCATAAGAAATGACAATGAAGTTACAATGTCAGGCAAGTAGTTTACAAATCTCTTAAGACCTTGTAACCGGTGCAGGTTTGTGTACACTATGATGGTAAATTCTACGAGTTTGTTCCCTGGAATGGTATTGTCAGATGGGACATGTCTCCATGGGGTTATTGGTATATGACTGCAGAGAATGAAACTCATATGGTAATTACTTATTTATTTTCCTCATGTTCATTCAGTTTCACTTTGACAGCATCGTTACCTTAACCCAATGAATATGTTTTGTGGCAGGTGGAACTAGAGGCAAGAACAAACGAGACAGGTACACCTCTGCGTGCACCAACCTCAGAAGCTGGGTTAACTACGGCTTGTAGAGATAGTTGTTACGGTGAACTGAGGCTGCAGATATGGGAACGTCTATATGATGGAAGTAAAGGCAAGGTATGCATGCACATAACTTGATCTGAGATTTAGAGCAGTAAGGACCATGAACATTGTTTAGATTAATTTTAATAACAAATTTTCGACAATTTAGAAAATAACTACTTATGTATAATATCACTGGGGCAGTTAAAAAGGATTAAAAACGTTGGTTATGGAATATAGTGGATAATGGTGTAGGTGGTAATGGAGGGAAAGAGCTCGATGGCAGCAGTGGAGATAGGAGGAGGACCGTGGTTTGGGACATGGAAAGGAGATACAAGCAACACACCCAAGCTACTCAAACGGTGTCTTCAGGTCCCATTGGATCTTGAATCCGTCTTTGGTTTCGTCCCTTTCTTTAAGCCACCGGGTCTGTAAGTTGATAGAAAAAGGCCATCTGTATTAAAACCTGAGTATGTATATGGTGTTGCCTAGCTTCACTAATACAAATGTGGTTCCTAAGATGTTAGAGACCATACACAATTTTTTGTCTAAATTTTAATGATAATTTTTAATACTTTGGTTTGACCAAAAAAAAAAAAAATTTTTAATACTTTGAAAGCATAAGTATATCTTCTTTTGACCAAAAAAAAAAAAAAAGAAGTATATCTTCCTTTTAATATTTAGAGATCAGAACGAATGTTTCAACTTTTATATGAAAATTGAATTACGTCTATTTAATTAACACGAGACAGTATCTCGTTGTGTCGTGTACAATGTTTTTAAACCTGACTCATACACTGAACCGGATTACTTTCTGAATTATTGGATTACTGGGTCGACCACGGTTGAACCACGGATTAATAGACTAATAGATATTAATATATATAAACATAATATCATTAATAATTGGAAAATATAAGATGATATCAAATCTTATACAAAATATAATTTAATACTTAAAATTTTGTTATTTTGTCAGCAAATTTAATATTTTTTTTGTCTTATTTCAATTTGCATCCATCATAAAGTAAATGATTTGATCAAGTTTTAATAACAAATAAGAATTTAGCTAAAAAGTTAAGATAATGTATTATTAAATAAAAGTATTATAAAATTAATTTTAAAAACACAAATACAAATTTATGATAGATTTTCAATAATAAAAATAAAATAATAGTCTAACAATGTCATATAAATAAATTTTATTTTTTAATTATCATTTTTCGAATAACATTGTAAAATTTACATCAAAGTCTAAAGAATCATGAATTTATAGTTTTAAAATTTTTGTAATATTAAAAGTGTATAAAAAGTTTAATCAAAATATTTTATAAATATTATAAGAAAAATTGGGATTTTTGCTGAGTTAACCAGTGTTGGATCACGGGTTAATGCCGGATTTTTGGGGTTTTACCGGTTTTTATTAGATTTTTAATTAACAGGTTTTTTAGTTAAATCCAAACCGGATTATTTATGGGTCATCGGGTTTATCGATTTAACTGCGGGTCCAAATCGGGTATGATAACACTGGTCGTGTATGATTTTGAAATATGACAAGTTGACAACACAACATATTAGTAAAATCACTAATTAATCAATTAGTGATGTATGTATGTATCTTATATATTAAAATAGAAGTCATGACTTCATCTCATGTGTGATATTTTAAAATGGACCATCTAATAGAATTTATGGCATTACATTATTCAATCATTAATAACATTCATTAGATTCACTAATAACATTTATTGGGCTTACTAAAAATTTTTATTGGACTAATAAAAATTAGATGATCCATTGGATTTATAGATATTATAATAAAATACATGTTTAAATTAAACTTATATAATTTAATATTGTAATAGTATAAGTTAATTATTTATATATTTTCGATGTTAACTTTAAAAATTATATAGTTTATTTTTAAAAATAACAAAATCATCATTTTCTAACAATAATTAATTATCATTTTCGACATACACACTTTATACAATATATACCAGTTTAGAAGTAAAAAAAAATGTTTATATAAAAATAAATGAAGATAAATACCCGTGCGGTTGCGCGGGTTGAGATCTAGTGTAATGTTAATTTTGTGAAACTGGATGGTGAACATTCGATAAGAATTAACGGTTCTTGTGTGTACGGTTTCAAATGGTTTAATTATAAACCGGATTTGATTGAAAATAACCAGAGTCAATAATCTATACTATATAAAAGTTGAGGCTATAAGCCATTGAGAGCGTCCACGTAGGATTTAAGTCCTCCAATCGTATAATGACACATCATTATATCAATTTATTATTTTTAGAAAATGTCATTGTTTCCAAATTCTATTAAAAACAAAATTAATATTCCATATATAATTTAACAAAAAAATAAATATTAACATTTTACAANCAAAATAAAAATATTGACAAAACATTATTATCTTTTTAGATATACTAAATATAAAGTATATTTTATACAAAAAAAAATAAAAATATAATAGTAAAAGCAACAAAAATCGTCTTACAAAAATAAAATAAATTTAATTTATTTTTTTAAAATATCATTGTTTCCAAATTAGTTTAATTAAAAAATATATTATCTAATAAATCTATACTGTATAAAAGTTGAGGCTATAAGCCATTGAGAGCGTCCACGTAGGATTTAAGTCCTCCAATCGTATAATGACACATCATTATATCAATTTATTATTTTTAGAAAATGTCATTGTTTCCAAATTCTATTAAAAACAAAATTAATATTCCATATATAATTTAACAAAAAAATAAATATTAACATTTTACAAATTACATAAAAA